CCCACAAAGTCCAAAATATAACTGAAAATACACAAACATAAAACTTGGAAAACACACGAGGACAAGGAGACAGAAACAATTGTCACACAGGGGTATTTGGGGCAGCGAGGAGACCCAGCTGAACTGGGACTCTAATAAAAAGTCAAAACGCAAAATAAGTAAACTTGAAAATCTCGTAAATGGGCACACAAACTACTCAAGCAAAATGAGAAACAACTCAAACCTAAAGCATACTTGAACCCAAAATGAAACTAAAACTCTAAAAACTCAGAACCATGAAGAGACCCAGGGATAGTGACACTGAGTGCTTAGAGCAGCCTACAGCCCAAATTGGCTGCACATACACTGACCTGGTTATCTGAAAGCTTTGGTCATGTCTAAGATGAGCATCCACTGTTGTAACAGTGAAAACAAGGAAAAGCATAATAGACCCCATTTAACGTTTTAGTTATCATAGCTTCACCATTTGCTGTTGCTAAACATCTCCACCCATGTGTGTTCTCAGAGAGCGTACCACTCCAGACTCCTGGCCCTGAGTGACGCACTAAAGAATTCGCCATTTTTCAGAACTCATGAGGTTAGTCTACACGTAGAGATGAATCTTGTTCAATTGTTCGATAAATAAAAAAACACATGAATTCATCATAGCCACTCTTACAATACCTTTATGTTTTTTAATCGATCAGGTGATTGGCAGCTCGCTTCTCTTTGTCCACGACCACAGCAAGGCCAGTGTATGGATGATAGACTTCGGAAAGACGACGCCTCTGCCTGACTCGCAGGAGCTCCGACACAACGTCCCGTGGTCTGAGGGTAGCAGGGAGGACGGCTACCTCATCGGTCTGTCCTCTCTCGTCGCATCTTTAGCCCAGGCCATCAGTGTGGCCTCCTGGCAGCAGGAGGAGAGCTGTGAGGAGGAGCAAATAAGCCCGTGAATGTGCATTTTTGACAGTCGTTACACAATTGTAAGTGGATGAGATGGACAAATCGACTGGTGTTACATCGGAGTGGTTTCATTTACTGGAAGAGACTTGATTTATTAATGGAGATTGTGTCTTCAAGGGCTAAGGAGGAGGAAAAAGGGACTTCAGTGTACTGAAAATCCATAGATATGTGGTTGTGCATCCGGTATGTACATACTCTGACAGTTAAAACGACTATGTTACAAAGACCTTTTTGTTTTCTCATTCGCAAAAGACGGACAATCCAAGGAACATCTACAGATCAGGGGCTTGCCCAGTGAAGAGGCATGGGTTGGGAATGACTCTGCTGGAGATCTGTTTACAAATGCTCCTGTCTTGTTTGTTTTAATTTGGTTGGTGCATAACCTAAAACAGCTTACCTTTGTTGCAACATAAGCTCATTTAAGGTATCTCATTATGCGCACATCGACTGAACAGCCTCGTGCTCTGTCTTTTTTTAAGACAGTATGTGTAAAAAACATGGGTTAAGTACAGATTAAGCTATACTGATGAAGAAAACACAGCCACAATGTTTGTATTGTATTATTATATTGTTTGTATTTAGATTACTTACACATGATGCAGCTGAAATGTTTGTCACAGTTTTATAGGCTATAAATAACCTCACATATATATATATATATAAAATTAAAATAAGAATGCTTCTTTCTGTTGGGTTTTTATATATCCATGTCACTATTATCATCATCTTATATAAAATGATCAATGAGTTGCAGACATCCAAGTGATATGCAAAAAGGTAGATAAATAAATAAAATGCTAAATGGCAGTGAGAGTTTAACAGCTGAAATCTCAGGGCAGTCAAATCCATTCGATCGTTGCAAAAAGCAGGTTGAGTGAAATATTTCAGTGAGATGGATTGGTGCAGCCAAAAAGCATATATATGTATTACACTGCATGAGGCAGTGGTGAAGTGTTCAGCTGAAGTGACGGATGAGTTTAAGGTGGGGAGGGATCGTCTCTAAGCCCCTTCTTATTTGATGTGGTGATGGGCAGGTGGACTGATGAGGTCAGGCAGGAGTCTCTGTGGACTCCTGCCTGACCTCTTACACATTATGATCTGAAGTGAGAGAAGGAGGCAGGCCGAAGAGAGCATGGAGAGGTGAAAACACGTCTAAAAGTGAAGCTGCAAGGAACAGAGGTGGTGAAGGTGGATTTTTAAATATCTCGGGTCAACCATCCAAAGCAACAGATGGGGCACAAGAGAGGAGAGAGTCCAGGCAGCGTGGAGTGAGTGGAGAAGAGTATCAGGGGTGATTTGTGACACAAAGAGAACGGTGAGAGTGAAAAGGAAGGTTTACAAGATGGGAGTGAGACACTAGCACTGACAAAAATACAGGAGGTGCAGCTAGAGGTGGCAGAGCTGAAGGAGGGACAGGATTAGAAATGAGCACATCAGAGAGTTATAGAGGCAGGGCTGACATGGTTTGGACATGTGCAGAGGAGGGATAGTGGAGGAGGGTTGGTGTGACAGATGAGGACGCAAAGGGTTGAGTGAGATGGAGACAGATATCCACGGTGGCAATCCCTAAAGGGAGCAGCCGAAAGATATGATTTGTGCAAATCTGAAGTATTGTTAACATAATGCTGAGTGTTTAATTTAAAGTAAGGCAAATAATAATAACTGAAAAGTAAGCAGTAAAACAATTACAATTATTAACCCTGTGAGGTCTAACACATCATCGGTGATCTGAACTCTAGGTTATAACAATATGTTTTTGTTTCTCACTGACATTGTCCGTCAGAGGATAACAAAATAATCAGACTAACTTTACTTTTTAAATTCCTTTTTTCTGCAAAGTGTTACGGCTCAGAGCTAGGGTTAGGGTTTAAATAGATTTATGTACTTCAGCTAAATTCAAGTACATTTTTGTGTTCAAAAGTTTAGAAAAATAGAAATATCTGGCCCAAGAGACAATATTCCCCCAACATTAAGACATCATAATTAGCATTTCAGTGGTTGTAGACTGTCAAGATGAAAATTTATAGTTTTAGTAATTAAAGACTCCATCTATTGAAAACAGATTTGGCATTAAAATGTGACAAGTCTAAAACAGAGACTACAAATTATGATGCAGAAGTTTGCAATAATGTCTTGGAGCTGTTATTACGGACTATTGTTAAAAATGACAATGACTTAATTTTGGATTTTTTTTTAGTTAACAACAGGAAATACAGCAGAAAAATTACATTTTTCCCCTTTTGTTATTGTTTAACAACCTAATAATAATAATTTGTGTTTGATTGACAAATAGATGCCTGAATTACTTTGTTGTTAATTACTTTGTTAATAATAAAACTATTTAAGCCAAATATCAATTTTAAAAAATGCCATAAAAATACAAAATCTTACATTTGCCTAAATATTTTTTTTTTTTAAAGTATGCTAATATTGTGGCAGTTTAAGCGCTCAGGCTGCAGTAATTAGACGTTAGAGCTTCGTTTCGCCAGGGGGCGCCGTGTTGTTGGCACATCAGGAGACAAGTGAGCGGGAGAGACCGACTGAAACGCTAAAACGACACGTTTTCGGTACTTTTATGGGGGAAAATAACCAATAAGGTGGTAAAAAAAAAAAAATTAGTGGTAAATATTGAATCTGGTCCTGGCAGGATACGCAGTCAACGTGAACGATACTGCTAGCTGCAAGCTAACCTTAGCTTCTGCTCACAAAGTTGCCCAAAAAGAAAGAAAGCATAAACTTCAAATTTCGCTCAAGAAGGCTGACAAAGAATCTGGTGCTGTTTTGAAAAGGAGTTTTTCAAGGAGAAAGTAAGTTTTTTCTGGGAGTTTAAGTGGTCTTGAGAGGACCAAGTGATCATGTTTCAGAGGAACTACCGCAACCTGGCCGTGGTGACACATGTGGTGAATGATGGTAAGTCTGACTCCTATTATTCTCTCGGCTTCGTTTAGCCCGGGTTTACATTACCGTCTAATCGCTTACACCTGCTTATGTTTCGTGTTTTAAACAGACATTGTGAATGATATTGCCTTAACATTGAATATTTAAAAATAAATAAGCATGCTACCGAGGAGGAAGGTGTAGCTATTGTTTACCTGGTCAGAGAATTTAGATTGTGTGATGCTAACGGAAGCCTTCAGGCTAATATTTTTAATGCATATGTTTTTATATTAATTAAATATATATTCAGTTGCAGTTTGGTTACTAAGAACCAGGATGGTCACGATTTTTGATAAAACACAGTTTGTACAGCTGACCCTATCCTAAAGTTTCTTTGAGCAACATATTATCAAATTATACTCCTTTTTAAATCCTGATAGGCCATATTAAAGTGCACTGTTTGTACAAATATAAGCACCTCTGGACAATTCCAGAATAAAATATTAAGCGCTTATTATGCCATTTTGTGATATTTCTGCTAGTATTAAGAAACCGTGCTGGTTCACTGTCAGGGCTTATTGGGACATCATTATTGTTATTGCTTCCAGCTGCACCTTCCTGCATTGAAAGTGCTCTGTCACAGGCATTTCTCAGAGCAGATCATTTGCCCTGTCGCTGTAGCTATTAATATGTAATGAGTACCGATAATGGCTGCATTCCATTTATGGGAGGTCCTGGTTTTATACTTCAGTGGCACAAATAATAGAAGTGAGTCATTAATATCACCTGAGTTTTTTTTTCTTACTTTTAAAAATCAGTCTTTTTTGCACATGTCACAGGAACTTTACAGTTATTTGGAGGATTACTGACAGCTGGTCAAAACAACATATTGAGATATGATTTGTGAAATTAGAATAAAAACTTCTGTAGGTTTAGGAAATGACACATCTAAATGAATCTTATGTGATTCTGTTTTTATCAAAGGTCTCAGTGTTACATAATGTTGAAATTATTTTCAAATTCAAACAATATAGTTTTTAGAAGTGTTGCTAAACGAGACAACCCCATTTTGTATACCCTTTGAAACCGCTGTAGTTTTGTTTTAAATACATTTGCATACTGGCGCAGCTTTGAAAAACAACAACAGACCGGCCCTTTGGCTAACTTAAAAGACAGCTGTCTGTGTTTTATTCCCCATCTTTGTGGAAATACAGAAGTTGGTGAGCCTTTTAAAGAGGTTCGTGTGTGATTTAAGTGGTCGGATATCCTACATCAAGCTTCGCGCTATAGGTTTTGCGCATATATACGCAAAAGTAAGTCGAAGCTAACGCTAGCAAAACCTAATTTGTACATTGCATGTTTTTTTTTGTTTGTTTGTTTTTTTTACTTGACCATAATCCCACCGTAGTTCGTTTTAACTGTCCGCTCCATTTTCTTGCCCCGGAAGAGAACCCAGTTGTGTTTCCGGCTTTGTCTTTTCGTTTGGGCTCGGCAGGGGAAGCTAAGCTAAGCTGCTAGTTACGAGCTGACAGTCACGTCGCGGTCGCCTTTGTTTCCGCTGGTCCACTCGGAATGTTGGAGTTTCTCCGACAGCCTTGGCTTTGAGTGCCGTGAAACAAAGAAAATAACCACCACTAGTATCATTGTTGTTTTTTTGTTTTACTCTGGGTTGTGGTTGTTATCCAACACTATTGGAGAAATATGGCGGACGGCGGGCATTACTACAACGGTAAGAAGCCACGTTCACTGCAGGTTTAAACTTACTGCACTTTTAACGACCTTTCCACAGATCGTGGAGACTTTATGGTGAGGAGAGAGGTCAGAAGCACCGATTTCATGATTCACGGAGGTAAAAATATGTCGAAGGCATCTCGGAGGTGTCATTTTGTGACCTTTTGGACACATGTTTACCCCGCACCACGCCATGAATATTTGTATTATTTCGCTGGTAAAAATGAGTCCAGAGAGTTACTGCAGAGATCAACAAGACCAGGTCTTGTCTTGGATATTTAAAAATGAGCATAATTTGCAAAAGTGTAGGCTTAATTAAAATCTGCCACAGAGTGTGTATTTAAAATTGTAAGCTTCCTTTAATGTTTACATTGCAAGCTGT